TCAAGAACCTCCCAAGCTTCTTTTACAGATTCTGAATCACTCACTTTTTCAAAATTTTCTGGACTCAGACATTGATGAATTATAAAGAGTGCTTTATGACTCAGATTCTCCGATTCTGTCAGTTTCTTATTTTCTTCTTCTGAAGCGTTTTCTCCAAGCGCTTCCAATCCATCCTTTACAAGATCTCAAAGACCTTGACACCTGAATAAAACTTTCATCTATTTGTATCGGTTCTCATAGTTGTCTACTTTCAGAATTGGTTTTGCTGGATAATTCACATTCCCGTAACTCGCCGTCGTGAATTATTCTTCTTCCTCAATCGTTCTTGATCGATACTTCCCTTGAATCGATTAATCGAAGCTCTTGATACCAGATGTTGAAAATCCATCAAATATCTATGATGAATTTTTACCAATCTTGATAAACAAGATTGATATCAACACACAATGACAATTGATTAAGAGAAAAGAAAAGAAAAGAAACAAGACAATTAATTTTCTACAGAGTTTCTCTGTCCACAAATTATGGAAAACTTTATTATTCACTTGCAACTGCAAATTCTTTGAATATAATGAATTGACTTAATTACAAAAATATGGACTACTCCCTCTATTTATAAATTTAGGTTAGCTTACTCCCTAAGCCAAGACCCAAAACTATAAAAAAAAACCCAAAAATATTTATTTTGAAATTAAATCAAATCTATCTAAATCTAAAATAAATCTAAATCTATAACCAAATAAAATCTGTGTGCAGCTTCGATACACAAACTCTTCGACTGAACAATGATTTCCATCGAGCAACGTACATCGACAACCTCTAATCCCTGAACACACACATATTATAAATTACAATTTAACAATAACTTGAGATGAGATGTAAGAGATTTGTAATCACAGTTTCTGAATTCAAATCTAGTTCTGAAGACCAATGTTAATGTTTTTAAAGAAAAGTTTTGTTCTTCATTGTAGTCCTTCCAATTCGATGAATTAATTTTTACCGTTGATCGCAAAAAGATATTTAATATCTAACTCGAGAGATCAGTCCATGCACAAAGAATATTTTGTTTCTGCGAGAAAAAAAAATTATTTTGCAGTAATTTCTATCATGAGCTTATGAAATTTTTGTTGTATTTTTTTAACAAGTTATTAGAGAATATTTTGTTTGTAAGTGCCGCAAAGAAGCATATGCATGTTTGGCACCCAAAAGTTTGGATATGCAAATCATAAGACAAAGAAACCTAAATATTGACTTTGATTCTCCGACACACCACTACGTGTTTTCCTCCTATCTACTCATTCGTCTTATTAGATCCATGGAAAATCCTTAATAAAGTCGGTACAATACTGTCACCATCGTCGGCACTACAACCGCCGGCGTCTGGCCGCTTGCCTCGCCGGCGCTCTTCTTTATGTAGACGTGAGCAATTACCATGTTCACACAATTGCCATTATTCATTTTTAATTCCACTACTTTTTTTTTTTGATAGATTTAATTATCCACTACTAACTATGCCCCTTTGGGACAAATAAATTACTCTTCCTCCTTGCTTTTTATAAACACGTTTTTATGTATATTAAAACAATTCTAAAAATGGGTAATTAGTATTTTTCATAACAAAAAACCTCTCATATTCTTATTAAACCTTTTAGGTTTATTATGTAATTAATATATTTAAACTATATATAAACTATAAACATTAATTATTTTTGCTAAAAAATAAACATTAATTATTTTATATATTTAAAAAACATTTTTTATAATAACGATCATTTAAAAAAAATTATAGTATATAATATTTATCTTATACATTATTTTTTAAAAATGATTATTTATTTTATTAAATCAATTAGTAGAATAAAGTAAAAGTCAATGGATAAATATTTTATTAAAAAAATATTATATGATTAGTATTGTAAAAAATATATTATTAGAGTATTAATCTTGTATGACAGTCTTGTTTAGACTCGTCTTACAAAAACTCGTAAAAAAATAAGATGGGATGTGACGGACATTGTAATGAGCGAGAATTTACAATCTTGATATGTCTCACATAAAAATAAAAACGAGACAGGACAAATCTATTAACACTGCATCTTTTAACTTTAAAATTATAAAATTTTATGTTAATATCTACACCTGCAAAAGTCTTAAAAAAAAAATACAGCGGAGTAAGACATACATATTGAATGGTGTAGATTTAAAATTTTGACTTATTCTGGAAAAAAAAAACGTACGGACAAAACAAATTTTCCAATTGTTTGAACGGTTTTTTTACCCTAATCTTACTATCGACTAGCAGAAGTTCGATTGAAGGAAAGAACTAAGTGGGTAAAATTTATTTGGACAAAAATGTCCCTCTAATATATAATCGAAATGATGTTAAAATTCTCTTGTCACTATTATAAAATGCGCAAACAACAACACCAAAATCACCACGGTTCGCCCCAAAACCGTAGTGACATCTCTAAATTAAGGCGCTAATATTTTATTTTCAATTTGTTAATTGATAATTTAAGGTTATAATTACGGTTAATTCAATAACCGTGGTGATACATTCTAGCTTTCCTGGATTCGATCACCAGCTCTCTTGAATAGTTTATCCCTTTTACTTTAATGCACATTTTTTCAAGTAAATTTATATATAATTAAAAAAAAATATGTGTATCACTACGGCTCGTTTGAACAACCGTTGTTACACACTGGAGATTCTTTGTATATATATTAAACACTAAGTACCCATTCTTCCATTGATAAAAGAAACTAAACCCTAACACCAACACTGTCGGGAAGAAGAAAACAAGCAAAACACTAATTGTTGTTGTCCATACTCGTCTCAATGTCTCATTTCAAGGGTGTAAAATCTCGATCTGGAAATTTTTGTGCTTGTGACCGTCATATGATTTTGTTCCTATGCAAGAGGAGTTAAAATAAAGGAAGGATTTTTTGGAGATGTCTAAATTGGTGGACTGGTGAAACATGTAATTTGTTCATATAAGATGAATATTTGAGAGAAAAATTGAAAGATGAGAGTAATATGATGTCAGAGTTGGAAGTTGTTGGATATTTAAAGGTTATGTATACAAGATTCAAAAAAGAAGAACACGAATTTGAAGAACAAACTGAAGTCAGAGAGGTTTTCTGGAAATTTGAATATGTTATGTTTTCTTATCTCCTTTTTGTTTAATATTTACTTTGTTATAAAATGTAATAGTTGAATTAGGGTTTGAAATTTGAAAATCTTATGTTATCTTGTATCCTTTATGTTTAATATTTTTTGTACTTTGTTATGCAATGTAAGAGTTGAAGAAGCAGTGGACTTGACATGAATATGCAACTAACGGACCATTTCTTACGAGTGAGTTCATCACAATAATTTTCAGTTACAATAATGTGTTTTATATATTTTGAAGTTTAAGCTTTTAGATTAAGTTGATAGTTTAAGTTGAATGTTTAAGTTGATAACCTTAAGAGAGTTATACATATAGATTAAAACTTCATTACATAAACTTTCATTAAATAATAAAAAATCATAATCAAATCTAAATCATCTTGTTGAGATAACGTTAGACCAATCATAGTCAGTCTCCTCCTCCTCATCATCATCAGAATAAAAAAAAGTCATCACTTGCCTTCTCCACCTTCTTCTTCTTCTTCTTCTTCTTCTTCTTCTTCTTCTTCTTCTTCTTCTTCTTCTTCTTCTTCTTCTTCTTCTTCTTCTTCTTCTTCTTCTCCTCACCATGAGAGCTCTCACTAGTCTAAACACAACACCCTCTATAGAAACATCAAGAATCTGAGGATGATTTTACACCACAACACTGGCCTCTACAGCAACATCTTGATTTTGAGACTGATTTGACACCACAGCACCCTCTACAACTACATTTGGATTCTCATCATTGTTGATGACTTGAGCAGGTAACCCATGTTGATATCTTTGGATGAAGATGGTTTTTGTGTCTTGGTTATTCTGCTTTTATGATGTTCCTTTTGATTCTTCATCTTCTTATCTTAGAAGTTTAAAAATCAAAGGTGTTCATCATTGTTTCTTTAATTTTATAAGCTTTCTTTTCTCTTGGAAGCTGGAAAGATTGCATTTCTCGAGTTTTTCAAATTTTATTATTTACTTATAATTAATATAAATTTTGATATCAATTAAAAATTAGTTTAGTGCTGATTCTGGTATGAAAATTTGACATTTATTCAAATATTATATCACAACGGTTATTATGAATAACCATTGTTATAAGGCGCACGTTTTCCAGATTACTACCACGGTCACTGGACCGTGATTGTAAGTACCATACGACCACACGCTACATAACAACACATGATCCTGTGTGGTTATATATCTTTTTCAATTGTTGTTAAATGTTTTTTCCATAGTAGTGTGTATAGCTAATTATTTACAATATTAAATAGTACCTTGAAATATTATTATTGATATATTTAAAATATAATATTTTTTTATGAAATATATATTAATTTTGTTTTTGTTTATATTTTAATATACCTTTTGATATTAGTTAGTGATTTATTCAAAAAGAAATTATAAATATATCATTAATTTATAAAATAATTTACAAAAAAAATATTTTTATCAAAAAATATACTTATAAAGGTTGAGGAGGGAATATAAACCACGAACAAACTAGTTATATTTGATAGTAATAATTAGTATATACCTCAAATTCTCCATCCATCACATTCACACCAACAACATTTTTCAACCATACTTTAAAGTTTGTCATAATCCTACACCTCAGACTTCAGATCCAAATGGACAGAGTGAGTTTTTCTTAATTTCCTTGTCTCTACAATTTCACCATTACACATTAATATATATTTTTCCAAAAGTAGGATCCTAAAACTCCACCAAAAAATATTTGGCCAAGGAGTAAAAAAAACAATAAAAATAAAAGTTAATAATAGATATATAATTGTGCATGCATGCGTAGTACTTCACATTCACATCCACAATCACACCATAGTTAACCAGGTTATCGTTCTTCTTGTTCATGATGATCACGAGAAGATAACCTAAAAACCCAATTCGAAATCGATTTTCTTGTAAAACTTCTAGAAGCTTGGGTACTTCTAGTTCTCTTGTTATCACTACTACACTCTTCACCATTGGTGTTTGAGACAAAGTCCTTTAACCTTTTCATAGCTAGGTTTAATGTATCTTCCGACATGTTAGCAAAACAAACACGAAACCACCCTGGTTCAGTGCAATGACATGATGAACCAGGTGAAATGTTCAACCCAACTTCGTATAATATCTTCTTCCATAAATCCATTTCAGCTTCAAATGTGTTTGAACTTAGAAGATTTCTCATATCAACCCAACAAAACAAACCAGCGTTGTTTGTTTTGAGACAACTAATGCTTGCCTTTTGTAATCCATTAACGAGCATTTTTTGTCGTTTTTTAAGCCTCTTTTGGTTCTCAGATAAGTAGTTTTTAGTGAACTTTTTGTCACCTAGCATAGCTGAGAGAAGGTATTGAGTTTGTGATGAAACCAAACCAAAGCTAGACATTTTCGTTGCGGCTGCAACGACGGTATCGTTGTCGGAATAGATAGCCCCAACGCGGAAGCCTGGTAGACCGAGATCTTTAGAGAGACTATAAACGATGTGAACTCTTTCTGCTACGTTGGCGTCGAGGAAATCCTTATCGTTTCTTTCTTTAAGGATTTCCATGACGCTGACGAAGTTTGGAGAAGTGAAAACTGTACCTGAGTAAATTTCGTCGCTTATTAAATGCATGTTTTTGTCTTTGATGAAGTCAATGAGAAGGTTTAATTCAGTCTTTGACATTGTAGTGCCTAGTGGATTTGATGGATTTGTGACTAAGACACCTTTGACTCGTAGGTTCTTCTTCTTTGCTTCTTCATGAGCTTGTTGTAAAGCAGATTCTGTAATTTGGAAATTGTTTGAGCTTGTGCATTGTATTGGAACTATCTCCACCCCAGTTCTCCACTTCAAGTCTCTATCAAATCTATATATAGAGAAAATAAAAATAAAATTTAGTAAAATTTTTTTTAGTTATATCGGAGTTGTGTTGATCTCAGAGTCAGGCATGTAACATGTCTTTGTTCAGAGATGTTGATTCTACTGAGCGTAAAAGTAGCATGCATGTAAATTACGTACCCTGGATAATAAGGAGTGGGAAGAAGAAAGGCTTCTCCTTTTTCAGCAAGACAAAACATGAGTGTTTCATTAGCGGAAGTGGCACCAGCTGTTAGAACAATGTGGTTTGGATCAAAAGTGACTTTGTTTCCTCTAATCTCAGCCATGAAATCAACCAATGCTTTCTTGAAAGATGGTAGACCATGGTAGTCTTGGAAGAGAGCAAGTTCTCGGAATATTGATTTTCCATCACGTTTGAATCCTGCTACATCTTGATTCTTAGCAAGCCATGATTCTAATAGATCAAAAGACAGCTGCAAATGGTGACAAAAAAAATTGTAAGCCCAACCACCTTAATTATTTAGACATTATATGTGCCTTGGTCTCATTAGATTGTGACACAAAAACATATAGTTAATTTGATTTGTTTCTTTATGTAATTTTGTCCTTTTTTATTCAAATTTATTTACTTTTTTCTTTAGAAACTAGTGGATGAGATGCATCACAAAGATTTCTCAATAGTCACTGGTTCTACTTCTAGTATTAATTTTATTCGGCTACACAAGTTACGTTTAACTGTGAAATTCTGATATAATATGATACAACATAGAATAAAAATATTTAACTAACCTGATTTTCGGCGAGACCCATCTGAATAATTCCTTTGGGATTTTGAACTTGATCATAAGGGTTCTTTTCATATTCTTGCCATCCTAGGAAATAGGATGAATCTTGGCCATGAGAGTTGCATGTGGCTTTTGTAGATAGCAACTTCATTTTTCTTTTGTAGGAGTATGAAATGAAATAATGAAAAGGATAGTGTGAGAGGGACTATAGGGAGGGAGGGAGAGAGAAGGATAGAAAGATACTTGATATTATGAGTGAAAAATGTTTGAAGATGGATTGATTGGTGTGTGATGTTATAGTGAGGCAAGTATTTATATATGAAAAATCAACGTAGCCACGTGAAGATGAAAATAACACTTTTGACCAAAGATAATAGTCACACTCTCATTGCCAACGCGGAAAGATAAAGTGATATATATGGTGGAATGAGGCAAAACCTTATAGTGAATGAATGTGTTATTTTGTATCCTACGCTTTTTACCCACCGTCCCATAGACTTTAAAAAAAATTTAAACAAATAATAGAATGTGTATAATCGTTGTATCTCATTTAAAATTAACATCTAATACATTAATTTTTCATATACTTTCGCATGTTCTTTTGTACATTAATTTAGCACACAAAAATAATGTGTTATTCTATTATTTTATTTATCTTTTGGATTAGGTCAAGGTTTAAATCGTTTTATTCCTTCCTCGATTTCAAAAGTGAGATAGATTAGGAATCAAATAACCGGATATTAGAAATTAGAACAAATCTAACATTAAACGACTTAAATTTTAAAAAATGAGACAAACTTGAAATCAAATGACTCGGGTCTTAAGAAGTGAGATAGACTTAGAATCATTCGGTCTAGGTCTTAAGAAGTGGGACAAACTTAAAATCAGACAAATTTAATCTTAAAAAATAAAATTGACCTATAATTAATTTTGATTCTCAGAAAATATATCAGACCATTAAATAAACATATTCTATAAATCATGAGATGATGATCTGTAACAATACGTATAAGATTCTTTAACATTAATCCTCTAAAACCCATATTCCTAAAAATAATTCTAAAGACTCTAAACCCTAAGTTTTCAGTATAATATGTAATTGCCTATTTAAGTGTTAAGTACACACTATTTTAAACTTTAAATTTTACATTTATAATTTCTAATAATTTGAACATCTGAGTTGTTCTAAATACACAATTCTATCGTTTAGAATAACAAGCAACGATCATGATCAATATATAAGTTACCACAAAAATTTTGTATAGGATATACATTGATCATCACTAGAATTTTTCAGATTCTTCCGGATGAATTTCTATTATGGTAATTTTTTTGATAAATAACCATGATTCAATAGGTTGATCAAATTGTAGTAATAGTTAAATAAAAAAAATTAGAAAGGAAAAAAGTGAGTAACGTAAGAAGGGAGGGATATAGTAGACTTTTTGTATTGGCGCCGAGAACACCATACCGACAGCAAATCTTAAGGGGAATGGGTCAGTGGTGACCCACAATGGTCATTACAATTTACAACTTAATTTTAATTCTAAGCTATTCCTACATAATGGACCATAATGCTCCCCTTACCCTAACCTTCATTAATTTTTTGTCGGCCATTTTCTTTAATCATGTTTTAACTTTCCCAAATAAGCCAAATCTCAATCTCCATTCTTTGTTTCTGTTTTCTTTAGAAAGTTTATGCTTCAATATTTTGGCATTGGTACCAAATAACACACTGGGTTTACTTGTCTTTTTTTCCACATTTTTCTCTTCATTATAAACAATTGAACAGCTAAGAGTGAATTTACTGTTTTCAAGAGATCGATTTTTCTACGTACGTGTTATATGTTTCTATTGAAATTGACTAGAAAAGAGTGTATATAAATCATACTGAAATTTACATTAAAAAAATTGGGATGTTTTCTTACTATTCACAAAATAACATGAGCATGTGAAAAGAATATTAATGAAATATTAAGAGCTCACCCTGCTGTTTTCATCATCTTCACAACTTCTGTTACTCTTTTAGGTTTTTTCAAAACATATACAAATTATTTCTCTCTCTTTTTTTTGTTGTTGTTAGTAAAGGGTATTCATAGTAAAAACAAACAAATCATGAAAATTATTATGAAATTAAATACTATTAAATCAATTGGCATTATTATTCATTACTATATCATTTGCAAATAAACTAATTAATATTAATATCTGACAAAATCAATCACATTTAAACTTATTTTGTTATTATCAATTTCTTTCCTTTTTCTTTTATTTTGATGCGTTAGAAAAAAAAGAACCATCATGGAGGTGACATGTTTTTAGAAATGTTTTTTTGTTATTAGAAAGTCAAATAAAAAAAAAACAGTTTGAATTGTAAAGTTATATTAGGAGAAATCTTGACTATCTAATATATCTACTATAGAGATGTTTTGAATTGAATATTTTAAATTTTTTAATTAATTCTTTGTTTGAGGAACAACCTTATTTTTATGTTTTCTTTACTATTATGTTTCCGTCCCTCTTTGTTGTTTTATATTTTTAACGAAATTTGAATTTATAAGAGTTTAATTACTATGTATTATATAAAAGAAAAAAATTTACACCATAAATACATTAATATTATAACCATTCAAAAATGAGTAAAAAAAATTTGTTTTAGTATTTTTATTTTAAAACTAAATATATTAAAATTTATGATACAATATAAAAAACATGTAAGTGTAATTGAATGAACGGATGGAAATATGCGTTAAACGCTCAAGTAACATAGATAACGAAAATATATTTGTAGATTGTTAGAAATGATAGTGTTAAAGAAGTGCAAGAATACGTTGAGGATGCCAGAGTCTAAGAGAGGTGATTTGACGGGGGCAGACGGAGATGGAACCACTAGTATTTATCATTTTGCAAATCCTACTGCCACCTCTTCCCTCTGTATTTTTTAGACCATTATAAAGTTGTCTTATTATAATCTTTAGAATGGCTTGGTTTGAAAGGGGGGAGAGATGGTAGTAAGAAAATTTCTAATGATAAGGGTAGAAATTTCATCTAGTTTTAAAATTTGAGAAATTTTTAGAAATATCTAAAGAAGTTGAAAAACACATCTAAATATATATATATATATATATATATATATATATATATATATATATATATATATATATATATATATATATATATATATATATATATATATATATATATATATATATATATATATATATATATATATATATATATATATATATATAGAGAGAGAGAGAGAGAATCATGTCATTCACATAAAGAGAGTTGGAGAGATTGAAAAGTGATGACCGAAACAATATTAACTCAACAAAAATGTGTTGAATCATTGAAAGGTGAGGTCACTAGTGCAGAAATGACTTTTTACATCGGGTGAAATTGACTTTTTACATCGGTTTTGGGTCCGATGTAAAGTCAGACAATATAGTAAATCAAGGACTTTTTACATCGGTTCTGAGACCGATGTAAAAAGTCCCTTTTTTACATCGGTTATAATATCAGAACCGATGTAATAACCTGTTATTATGCACATTTTTTAAAAAATTGATCCAGTTTTTTAAATCGGTTGGAAGTAATACCCGATGTAAAAAGTCTATTTTTTACATCGGTTATAATATATGAACCGATGTAAGAAACAGTTATTATGCACATTTTTTTAAAAAATTGATCCAGTTTTTTACATCGGTTGGAAGTAATACCCGATGTAAAAAGTCCCCAGTGACACGACTTTTTACATCGGTTATTATCCCCAACCGATGTAAAAAGTCCCTTTTTGAAAGTTTTTGCATCAGTTTTTACTAATAACCGATGTAAAATGTATGAAATTTTTTTGGAATAGATTATTTATTTTCTGGATGTTTCCATGTACAAATATAATTTGTACCCATTTTTTCATATTTTTCCAATATCACACAGACTATATTTATGTCGCTATATAGATTTCATAGCTTTCCAACATCACATATATCACATCTAGGTCGATGTTTTCATATTTTTTACAACAAAGTTACAAATTGAACAATTGTATTGCAAATTTGTATTGTATTACAACAAACAAACTTACAATTACAAATTCTTCACAAAATATACAACAATATTCAACTATTTATAAGTCTTTTTTCAAAACTTATAATTACATATTATTCACAAAATATACAAAAATATTCAACTATTTATAAGTTTCCAAACTTAAATTACCAATATAAAATCTTCGGTAGACAACACCAAAATCACATTGCCTGACAATAAATAATAACAATTAACATCAGCAAAAAAAATCAAGAAACTCAATAAATGTGCAAAAACCATATGTATTGTGCAAAAACCACAACTTATACAATTCTATAAAACTCACCAAGATAAACTTAATTTTCATGTAACTCAAAGAAACATTTTGCCCAACGAAGTCACAAATCATACAAATCATCTTGTGTTAATTCTGTTGGGTCATCAAATACCTATAATACATAAATATAACAATATAGAGTTAATTTTTAAAAATTCATTTTAAGTCGAAAAATAAAAAGTAAATAACAAAGTAAAGTTATTTTTAGTACCTGCATCCAATTCTCGACCTTTATCTTTTCACCTGTTTGATGAACTTTGTCAATTTGTGTCATTAAAGTGGGACCTCTAACTCTTCTTTTATTGGGGTTACTAGATGAAGAAGGATTGTCGTTTGAATCACCCATGTATCTGAAACAACAAATGTCAAAAGGTATAAATAATTCTTAAACTTGAATATAGATGTTCACAAATATGCATTCATAATCATATACATATCCCACATTTTTAACAATAAGAAAAACTATGTCTTAGACTTACAGAATTAACTTATACAAAAAATCTTACTAGTCCTCCCATATCCCTTCTTCATGGTCTATGCGAATAGCATGCACATCATCCCCTTCATTTTCTTCAATGAATGTAGTCACATTTGTTGAGAAAGGATGAGTTTCAGAAATATCAAGATTCTCATCATGATTTTCATCACTATCATGGACCTTTCCTTGTAAGACCACTGACCACTTTTTATTAGAAGGATCTGTGACATAAAACACTTGTTTTGCTTGAGATGCCATGATGAATGGTTCGTTCGCATAAGCTAACTTGCTAAGATCAACCAGT